CATACAAACACTGCTAGGACAGCAAAATTTAGCATGTCTGGCAATTGTAAAATGGCTCAGGTTTTTGAGGAGAGCAGGTAACCATAAGAAACCCATAAGGATAGCAACTCTATATTGTGTAAGTCAATGCTTATGCCTGGCGTCACAGTGGTTTTTTTCTAAGACAACCCTCTTTCTAACTCATTAACAACAAAGGTTTAATTTAACGAGCTTCCCTTCTAATTTTCAGGTTGGATTGTTATGCAATGGCTAATAAATTATTCTGTCACTTTATCAAAATAAAAGAGCAGTTCATTAAAATAATTATCAGACATTTTGCTCAGCAACTCTATGACCTTGTTCAGAGGACAGATTAGTTGCAAAGAGTTTCCTCGAGCAAGTAGAACAGGTCTGCAATGCAGCTTAATTGTTTCGGGTAAAGCACACACCGTTTCAAATTCCCAGGAACCTCCCGCTTCAGGAACAAACTGTGTTTCTACAGATGGATGCTGGTGTGCGGAAATGCCACAGTGACTAACGGTTCAGCTGACCTTTAGTTTAGGGCCAGCTGCCAGTGGGAAAAGCCAAGCTGTTATTTACATTCACTGGAAAGACAAGAGGAACTGCAGAGACATGGGAAGGCAAATAAAAGGGAGGTGTGGAAACTCCTACCTTAAGGAACCCAGCAGAAAAGAGACTCTACAGCCCTTCAAAATTCCCAGAGGCTGGTCCAGCTGTGAAAGCGATTTCCTATGGACCCTCTATCCTTCCCCACCTAGGACCAGTTGAGGGATTCGATATTTGTTGAATGCTCTCCCGAAATGCTCAAGTCAGATCTCCTTTCCCAGCCTAGCAATTGAGGGAGGTGTTGTCCTCCACCTCCTCCCTCCCTCCCTCCCCCCAAAATATCCCAACGTGCTCTTTTACATTCATGATTTAACCTGGCTGATTGAAAGCCAGACACAAACCCTCTCCATCTGGCAGCTGTGTGGGGAGCCCGGTCTACTGCAATTCTTATGGGCTGCACAGCCACAGAGAGGAAGCAGGGACGATACTCTGATTTGGGAATAGCCGAGAGCCTGAGGCAAGAGCTCAGCTGCATGAGCTGTCCTACCCTCCGGCTGCTCTATTGCTTTTAGCCCCAGACCTCGAGGATTTTTCCATTGTTGGTTCTGCTGCGGGTTGATCTTTCCCCTGTTTGCCTGAAGCGGCAAGAGAGTAACCACAGCCTTGTGTAGTGGATAAGTCCAGCTGAATCGGATCCTCAAGTTCAAACTGTCTGTCTTGCTGGAAATCATGAACGGGAAAGCATTTGAAAAGGAAATGTATGACCTTTGGTGCCAGGCACTGGAACGTGTAAATGCTCAACAGACAGAGCATCTTACAGACCCAGATCCTAAAAGGGATTACACCGTGACTTGGCATACATTTGTCATCCTGCTACTGTCACAGCGTGATAGTCACTCCAGGAATTGTCTTGAAATCATCTCCGAGACAGAACAGCATGACTGAAATATTTTAGCGGCATTTCTGCTTCAGTGGTGCCTTTTTTTTTTTTATGTACTTTGTTTAATTTCAAAACTGGCTGCCAGCTTTAGGGTTTCTCTGGTTTTGTTTTGTTTTTCTGTTGTCAAGAGACACTCAAAATACCAATAAGGCTTTACAACTTGCCAGGAAAAGAAACTTCGAAAAAAAGCCCTGCCATTCTGAAGCTATTTTGCTAATGATGGCTGGGAATTCGTGACCGTTACGAAGCTGCTCAAGGCTTCTGCACCAGTCACAGCTGAGGAACTGACTGGTCTCCCCTTGATCTGGGTGCTGAATCTGCATCTACTACCTATCAAACCAAATTTCATCCCAGACTTTCGGAGTTGAGCAAGAAACCTTTGAAAATGGCGTTTATCCAGAGTTGATGGGAAAGTGGGGGGAGTACCCGTCCTGCCTCGCGTTGTAACTCTGTGTGGGGAAAAGGAAGCTCCTCAGTGGTGCAGACTGCCATAGCGCCGCTGATGTCTGTGGAATGCCGTTTAGAATTTACACCAGTTGAGCATTTGCCCCTGGGTGTTTTAATTCAGGGCATTTCCCAGAAATGTTCTGTTGAGGTGGGAGAGGCAGGGTTCACCACCCTTCAGAAGAAGCCAGAGGTTCTGCCTTCCTTAACTACTGATCTGGCCCACTCCCACCAGGCTGCAGCCAAGACTTTCAAAAGTGACTAGGATTTAGTGCCTCAATTTTGGGGTGTCTGACTTGAGGGACCTGAAAGAGGCCTAATTTTCATGAGTGTGGAGCACCTGCCTGCTGAAATCCAGGTCCCTTGCAGGTATCTCAAGGTGGGTGCCTCAGACCACTGCTCCCCTCTGAAAATCTCTCTGTAGGTGTACTTTGGCTGGTCTACCTTCTGACAGCGCAGGGGGTGGGGAGAATCCAGAGAAGCCTAGCCAATTGCTCTGTCCCCTCCTACACACACAAGCTGACCCTGGGAACTTCCAGGGGGCTTGGGAATGCCTTCTGTGTCCCCTAAGCCTGGATCAGTGGACAGGGATGGGAGCATGGGGCCTCAAAAAGAAACATCCCTGGTCACTAGGGAGGATAAAGGTGGCAAAATAGCAGAGGGCGTTAACATTAGCCAGAAGAGTTATGGGTAACAGAGTTTTTACAAACATATCAAGGGATACTGCTCAAGAGGAAACATTAACAGAAGCCCGTTAACAAAGGAGAGGGAGATTAAATGAACTAGGATCGCAAACCAGAGAAGACACCGAAACTCTGCAGCTCGGTGATCTCTTGGGCCTTTGATGCCATGCCATAGAGGGAAGGAGCAGAATGGCCACCCAAATGAGAACTCAGGCAGCAAAAATGGGCTCCATAGCATGTGCTTGCCCCTTGCCAGGAGCCTGTCGGAGCTCCAGTCTGCCCCTGCCCCACACCCACACACGGTTGGGGATCTGCGTGTGTGGGTAGTAGGAACATCAGCGCTGGGATGGGAAGGAGATGGGGAAGAGGCGTTCTCTGTGGCATGCTCGGGATCCCTAGGGGCTAAGCACAACGCTGAGCAAACACCAGCACAGAATTCAGCGTGGGTGGGCAAAGGTGTATTAGAAGGAGTCAATGGAAGGGGCAGGAGGTCCCCCAGGGAGGGGTTGGCTTTCCTTGCAGCTATCCCAGAATCCACTGGCAGCAGTTAGCTCAGCAAGTCCCCTGAACTAAATTACATGGAAGCTCTGAGGGTGCCCATGAGTCTGCCCTTGAGGAGAGAGGCCCATGCATGCCACACTTACCTCTGTGGATAGGAAACGAAGCAGCATGACTTTAGAGCTGCCCTAGGCCTGGAAGCATGCTGCTCAGACTGGCTGGCCTCGGCATAGACTGCTTTGTGTTAACAGAAGCCTGTCTCCTTATTGAAATAATACCCTGATCCAGTCAGTAACTTTCCAGTTGCTCTGTCGCCATCTCACAGCTATTCTTCCTACAGTCGGTCACCATTATACAGGTGTGCAGGATATACAGTATACCACGTACACAAGGATACACAGTGATCAGGGGGAAAAACATCTACTTCCCTTTGTGTGGTGGGGAGGAATGGGGAGAGACAGTGAAATGTACAGATGTTGGCACGGTGTTTTCTGTTAGTTTGAACGAAGGACGCTGGACTGGTTTGGCAGCTGCCATAAAAAAATAAATTGCATTGTGCTTTGATAGGAGTTCATTAAAAAGGTATTCATCCTCTATTGGGAATATGTGGTATATGAACAAATGTCTCATATCCTGTATATTGGCATCTATGAAAAATTAGTGGCACAATAAAAACGGATATAGACAGAAATCATAGATTTTTTCCAATCCTGCTGTTCATTTTGCATTGAAAACTTCTATTGTCTTCAGCTGGAGTTGTCAAGAACTGCACGGCTCCAATACAGTCAGGTACTGAAGCATCTGCCTACATTTAATCACATGAGTAGTCCCACTGAAGTCCTATTGACTTCAATGACTTGAATTGACTACTCCCTTGGTTCAAGTTAGGCACATGCTGAAAAACCTCGGTGACTCAGGCCCTAAGGATGGACCCTCCATCAGAGGGTAGCTAACTACTGAATTTACTCATATTCGGTGTATACTTAATTTTTTATGGCCCAAATCCTGAACACCGTGGGTGAAATCCAGACCCTACTGAAGTCAGTGGCAAATTTGCCACTGGGCCAAGATTTCACTTCTTGTCTTTATTCATGTTTTATACCACCACCCAGGGAGTTTTCCTGAGAAACACTCATATTTTGCAAATTGGCCTAAGCCGAGTAAGAACATCTGGATTTGGCCTTTTGTTAGCAAGTCTAATGAGAGTGACTGTGTATAAAGGTACTGGATTCCACAGTGCATCAGGGGACCTTTTGTACAACACAAATTCTGCTTATTTTTAAACAAATGAGAAAACACTCTTGTGCAAAAGAAACCTAATAATGAAACAGGGTCCATGTATATCAGGAGTGCCCAAACTTTTTCTGTCCACGCCCCCCTCTCCATTACTTCACAGACAAGGCTTACTCAGCAACGGAACTTGGGTTGAAGGCAGAGCTGGGAGCTGGAGGGGGGAGGAGCTGGGGCTAGAGGGAATGAGGGCGGAGCTGGACTGGGGGCGGAGCAGAGGGTGGAGTAGAGCTGCAGCTGGACTGGGGGCGGAGCAGAACTGCAGCGGGGCTGGAGCCGGACGGGGGACGGACCGGGGGTAGAGTGGAGCTGTGACTGGGGGCGGAGTGGGGCTCAGTGATGCTCCTTACCCGCCCCCCCCCCCCCCCGAATGTTTCTCTGTGTCCCACAGTTTGGGGACTACTGATCTATATAGAGATGAAAATCACTGGGCAGTAAACTACATATATGAACAGAAAATGTGTGTTTCTGATGTCAACATATTCATAAAATCAGGATGTCCACATACTGCACTGTTATATAACACAGCATTCACTCATTTTCTGGCCTCCACCAAAATAAAATATATATAAGTATAAATGCACAGCTTCTTCTCTTACCTTCCACTGAGAAGGAAACCAATAACCACCGCCAACAGGATAACTCCCACTGTTACTGACACAGCAATTATAGGAATCTGGCTCTGATCCCTGGATGCAGCTACTGCTGAGATGAGAAACAGAAAATGGAGATTAAGGTTAAAATTACAGCCAACACTCACAAGAAACTTTATTGCAAGGCTGCCAGAGATATTGCAGTTTCACCAATTCATTAATTCTTTCACAGGTTGGTTGGTTTGTTTTTCCTCATCTATTTTTTTTTTTTTTTTTTTTGAAAGAAAAATAGAGAGTGCAGGGTTCAGTTTTTGGAAACTTTAATTACCGTCCTAATCAAAATGTCACAGAATTTACTGTTCCAAATGGTAAACTGGAATCTGTGTTCCTGGTTGTGCAGCACTAGAAATCAGTCAGGGAAGAGATGGACACCAAAGAAAGTTCCTTTTTTTTTGGTGGTTGTTGACTATTTAAAGACAAAGTTCACGGATTGAATTCCTATTAGCTGGAAGATGCGACATACCAAAGATCTCTTAAATAAAAGGCAGATATAATGCCCATGACAAGACTGAGTAAAATTACCTCAGCCGTAGGAGTCTTCTGAGGCCCATGCATTAACTCTTTGTAGCACCTCCAGCGTAAGGCCGGCTGGTGTCTTTGGAATAAAGTCGTGCTGAAGACTAATATTTTGGTTGGTGTCTGTTTACTGTAAGGAAAGCAGAATTGCTTCCAGATTGTGTCATTTCAAAAATCCCCCTCTGCAGATTGCTTGAGAGGAAGGATTGTTGCATGATTAAGACACTGGATTCAGGAGACCTCAGTTCAATACCTGGCTCTACCAGCAGCTTCCTGTTAAACCTTCAATAACAGACTTAGTATGTCTGTGCCTCAGCCCCCGTCCATAAAATGGAGATTATAATAGCACTTAATCTCTGCCTTGTCTGTTCAAATTGGAAACTCTTTGGTGCAGGAACTGTCTCACTATGTGTTTGTACAGAACCCAACACCATCAGGCCCTGGTCTTGGCTGGTGCCTCTCAGCACTTCTATAATTGATAACAAAAAAATGTCTACTCTTTAGAAACAGTGTCAGTGGTCAACCAGTAGCTAGTCTCATACTTGAGGTTAAATCAGGGCCGGCTCTGGCTTTTTTGCCGCCACACGCAAAAAAGCCTCCCGCTGCCCCTCCCCCCCCCAGCGCGGCAGGGGAGGGCAGCGAGCCCGGCCGGGGCTCCGCTCTCCCCGGCGGCCGGAGCGCCGCGGGGAGGGCGGCGAGCCTGGTCACGGCCCCGCTCTCCCTGGAGCCGGTGTGCCGCGCCGCCCCCCTCCAGGTGCCGCCCCAAACACAAGCTTGGTGGGCTGGTGCCTGGAGCCGGCCCTGGGTTAAATGTAAGCATTTTAAAATTTATTCAAGCTGTCTAATTTTGGCCTTAAATCATATGAACTTCCTAGTGAACAGCTTGCTTAGAAAACATTAATCATCTTCCTAACTGGGGATAAATGTTATCTGAACCATATTTACATTTTCACTAAAATGTCATGGTTCTAATAGATAATCAGAATCACTCACCACAGTAGATTGTCCTAGACAGAGGTTAGTATAAATGTTATAGACAATGGTCACTATTTAAAAAATATCAAAAATTGCCAGCATTTAACATGCATTGTTTTTTGAGATTACCACAGTGATTCTATCTCCTGCGGATAGAGAGATCTGTAGAACCTCTGCGGTAACAGGTGGCAAAAGTTGGCTTTCTAGCCCTCATGGTTGCAGAGAATAGCTTGAAAATGTGGTTTCAGAGTATGTTTCACTCTATATGCATCCGAAGAAGTGGGTTGTAGCCCACGAAAGCTTATGCTCTAATAAATTTGTTAGTCTCTAAGGTGCCACAAGTACTCCTGTTCTTCTTGAAAATGTGAATTCTGAGGGCTGCAATACCAGAAAGCAAAGAAAAATGAGCCCAAATTTGGGTGTTTTAAAAAATTGCATGAATTTGAACTGGGCTTGGCAGAATTTGATTTCTATACATAATGTTGATGGACAATATAAATGTTCAAGAATTTTTTTTACATTTTTATCCATTTGTGGGAAATCCTGGGGGTGGTCAAGCAGTAGGGGTAGGGTGTCAAACAATAATTAAAATCGAGCGGAGTGCCCCAGGGGTTGGTCCTGGGGCCGGTTTTGTTTAATGTCTTTATTAATGATCTGGAGGATGGTCTGGACTGCACTCTCAGCAAGTTTGCAGATGACACTAAACTGGGAGGTGTGGTAGATACACTAGAGGGTCGGGATCGGATACAGAGGGACCTAGACAAATTAGAGGATTGGGCCAAAAGAAACCTGATGAGGTTCAACAAGGACAAGTGCAGAGTCCTGCACTTAGGACGGAAGAATCCCATGCACACTACAGACTAGGGACCGAATGGCTAGGTAGCAGTTCTGCAGAAAAGGACCTAGGGGTCACAGTGGACGAGAAGCTGGATATGAGTCAACAGTGTGCTCTTGTTGCCAAGAAGGCTAACGGCATTTTGGGCTGTATAAGTAGGGGCATTGCCAGCAGATCGAGGAACGTGATCGTTCCCCTTTATTCGACATTGGTGAGGCCTCATCTGGAGTACTGTGTCCAGTTTTGGGCCCCACACTACAAGAAGGATGTGGAAAAATTGGAAAGAGTCCAGCGGAGGGCAACAAAAATGATTAGGGGTTTGGAGCACATGACTTATGAGGAGAGGCTGAGGGAACTGGGATTGTTTAGTCTCCAGAAGAGAAGAATGAGGGGGGATTTGATAGCTGCTTTCAACTACCTGAGGGGGGGTTCCAAAGAGGATGGAGCTCGGCTGTTCTCACTGGTGGCAGATGACAGAACAAGCAGCAATGGTCTCAAGTTGCAGTGGGGGAGGTCTAGGTTGGATATTAGGAAACACTATTTCACTAGGGGGGTGGTGAAGCACTGGAATGCGTTTCCTAGGGAGGTGGTGGAATCTCCTTCCTTAGAGGTTTTTAAGGCCCAGCTTGACAAAGCCCTGGCTGGGATGATTTAGTTGGGAATTGGTCCTGCTTTGAGCAGGGGGTTGGACTAGATGACCTCCTGAGGTCCCTTCCAACCCTGATATTCTATGTTTCTATGATTCTATGAAAGCTTGATAACCGTTAAACAATAGCATATGTCAAAATATACAAAGTAAATATCCTTACATCAAATTCTAAGAAGTTCTCCAGCAGCATTTTCCTGACTCTGATTTCACTGGTCATAGATGGAAACATGCTCTGTCGGTTTGTGTGTGTACGGTGAGATCAACGTTTACCGACATTCACCGATAAGAATCTAAACCTTCCCAGTCTAATTTTAAGACAATCACATAATTTTGGGGAACTTTTGGGGTTGGCAGTACTGCAAACTGGGTCGAAAAAGTGCTTTCCACTGTGCCTTGAAGAAGGGAGGAGCTGAAGCAGAGGTAACTATGCCCCTTAATTTCAAGGGCAGGGGATACTGGCATGTAGAGGTCTCCTCGGGACATGGCTGTTCAGGGGAGGCAGGGTCAGACTCACAGTTATTTTGGATGATGGGCTTCATTACAACCACAAGTAGGGTATGACATGGGGGACATATTAGCACTTCCCCCCAAAGAATCAGCAGAAATTGACTGCACAGTCAAGCAAGCCTTCAATTAAAAGATGGAAGGGGCAGTGAGTCCTTAATTTTATGGAAGCTATAAAATAATTGAATAAAGCATAATATTAAATGTTAAAAAAAACCCATAATGTATTAAACATCGATTTTTGCAATGGGTTTCCAAGTAGCACTTTATATGGTAACTCTCTGATTGGCAATTCATTACATATAGTAGGGCCCAGCTAAAGTACAGTCGATGATTTCATAATGATTGGGCCAGAACATTAAATCTTTATTGTCTAACTACTCAAAACCTACACCATCACGTAGAGATTTTACTAGCATCACAAATGTATAGCAGTTCCATTTGTAATTTTATTACTACTTGCTGGGGGATGGAGAAATAAGGCCAAGTTTGCTGGGAGATGTTGGGGGCTCCCAGGCAGCAGGGGAGAGCTAAAATGTTAGGAATCATAGAATCATAGAAGATTAGGGTTGGAAGAGACCTCGAGTCATCTAGTCCAACCCCCTGCTCAAAGCAGGACCAACCCCAACTAAAGGGAGTGAGTAGCAGAGAGAGGGAGACCTGCATGGTGGGGGAGAGGCAGGGGTGGGGTGTAACTGCAGTGGAGGGCAGGAGAGTTAGGTGTATGAGGGGGAAAGGGAGCCAGGCTGCTGGAGGGACAAGATAGTTAGCACCAGTAGATTTGAACGTAAAACCCTCATTTAAAATTAATTCAGACCAGGATGTGCCCCCACTGCCCTCTTGCCCTGTCGCTAATATCTGCAAGTTGACAACATTTGGCTTAAAAGCTGCAAATAACCATGCTGAGTTTATTGCATTTGACCACTGTAGGGCCCAATCCTGCAAACCTTTGACTGGCCCATAGCAGAGTCACTGGAGTGACCGGTGACAGGAAGTACGATCCGTGGCAATCGCAGAATCCTGTCCGTAAAAACTAAGGGTTGCACTGGGAGGGGAAGCAGAGAAGCTGCCAGATGTTCTGCGTTACAAGGAGCCCTGTTGGCAGATGGCAGGATTCCAAACTGCTGGCTAACATTGCCCAGGTGGGACATTCATTGCTGTTCCATTCAGCTGGAACATACTGCTCAGTACTAGAGCTGGCAGCTTCTGTTGGCGTGCTCTAGCCAGCCAGCCCTACTCCTTTCCCACACAAATCAAACCTCTTTAGCATGTGATACACACTGCAGGTCGGTAGCAGCTCGTCTCTCCCAGTGCTCCTGCGTGCTAGGGACGGACGTACACTAGCCACTCAGTGTGAGAGCGGCAAAGATTGTGTGCAAAATAGGGCCTGCCAATGCACTTTCCCCCATGTGCCCCAGTCAGAGCAAGAGCAGGGCTTCCCTTTCACATGTCTATCAAAAGTATTCGGCATCAGCTAGAGCTCTGCTTCCTGCACGGCGTGACCAAGATTAAAACACAGGCCTGGGAGCTGCCAATCTGAATTGTATTCCTGGCTCTACCACACACTCCCACTGGTTTCAATGGGAGTTAGGCACCTAAATGTCTTTGAGGACCCGTGTCATAGGGCTTTTTCCAAAGCCCACTGAAGTCAATGGAGCTGCAGTTGAGCAAAACATTTAAGCACATGCTTAAAACCCATCCCTATTCTGCAAAGTTTTTAAGCGTGTGCTTAAGTCCCACGTAAGTCAATGCTGAAGTGCTTTGCTGCATAGGGATTGCAATGCTGAATTGGAGCCATTCCATTGACTTCAGCGAGATTTGTATCAGACCCTTAATCTTTGTGCCTCAGTTTCTCTAGTGGCAAAATGGGAATATTCAAACAGAGGGGTTTGCAAAAATCAATTAATTAATTAATGGTTGTAAAGTACTTTGAAACGTTATGATGCTATGCCCTGTAAAATATTATTATTATTGTTTTGAGAGCTACAATGACTATTTCCAAGATTTCCATGATAAGTCGTTCAAAACTATCATTATTTTGGCTTGTGATATTAGGTCATGGTGGCAATGGACCAAATGTGCAATAAGTGCCACTATATTACTTATTAATATTCTGAAACATGATTACTGAACTACTCTAAATTAGAAACTTTTCTACTGCATCCAGACCTTGCCTATCATAATACAGAATTATTTTCCAGCATAATATGGTTTGGTTTCTACTTATAGGACATGATTATAGTGGTTAATGCAATAAGAAATACATTAAATAGAAAAGTCTTATTGCATTAATGTTTGCATCACTATGGTATTTGCACTATGTTAGCTTTGCCACTGACTCCAGAGGTAGGAGTGAAAGGTAACTCTCATTGACATGACAACATTGTATCTTTTTTTAAAGAACGGATGATGACTTCTAAATGAACCAAGGAAGCAGTAATTAAATAGCTGATGAATGTAAATTTATAAGGAAAACATACAGCATGACTTGCTATTCACCAAAGGAATGAACCGAATATTACAATGATGAAACCTCTCTTGCATACAAATAGCATACAAGATTAATAAATGTCACTTGTACAAATTGAAATAGGTACACAGAGGACATATTTTATGACAGTGAAAATTATCACCGACACCACTGCAAAGAATAGGTAAGCAAGGGACAAAAAGTATTTCTCCATCATAGTCTATAAAAACAATTGAGGCTATGACTACACTGCGCTTTTGTCAGTAACATTTTTGTCAGTCAAGGGTGTAAAAAAACACACCCCTGGCTAGCTGTGCACTATTTTAAAGTGCTTAGGACTTTGTCTACATGGCAAACAGCTTAAAACTGATCCTTTAAATATAATCAGGGCCCACACACTCCACAGTTCCGTGGAATTCACCCCTGCCACAGAATTACGCTCTGGAATCTGAGCTTCTATTTTAAAAAAAAAGTTTTCAACCCTTATGATTGCTTGAAAACGTGAACTGGTGCAAACTGACGCAGTGTCATCCACCTGAGCATGCAGGCAGCCTCAATCAGTTGCTCTATGACTTTGCTCCTATGGAATTTATCATCTGTCCACTGTGCCACTGAAGTAAGCATTTCCTCAGAGAATTTGCCATTTTGCTGCAGTCAGATGCCCTGCACTTTGTTTTCTATGTCCTTGCCCTCCTTGGACCTGGCTGCATTTGCCTCTTGCTCTCCAGCTAGAAGGGGGAGTTAACGGGGCTACAGGGCATGCTTCCTGCACCATTACATCAAGCCAGGAAGCAGGGGGGGTGTTTGTGGGTGGGGAGTGGGGGTAAAGGTTATTTCATGGCTTTAAATTAGTCTATTTAACTGGCTATGAATTTACACAATGGCATCTCTAAATACGCACCAACAGATTTAGGTCCCAATCCTGCAAACATGCAAGTGTGACCCTTAAGCACATGTGTTGCTCCATTGAAGTTATGCTAAAAGTTAAGTGTGTGTGTAAAGTGTATATAGGAGTGAGTCCTTAATAGGCCAAATTTTGCCCTCTATTATATCTGTACTATTACTGTGAGAATTTTGATACCACCTGGGAACCTCAGTCATGGATCAGGGCCCTGTTGGGCTAGGTGCTGTACAAACACAGAACAAAATACCACTGAAGTCAATAGGGCTCTACCAGAGGGCAGAAAATAGCCCAAGGAAATTATCTGTCATTTGCGCTCAGGACATAATCTTCAAATGCTCAAACTTTAGATACTCAGAAACATTTTTTATAAACCAAACAAAATAATTAATCTTCAGGGAGAACTTTTCCCTGCCCCGGGCCAAGGCTCACATTTCAGACCTTTTGTTATAGCCCTTCCAAAAAAAAAAAAAAGGTTTTGCTTGATTACGTTGTTGTTGTAAGTGGTAAACTGCATCTTTACTGAAAGTGAAAACTCAAAAGCACATGAAAGGATTCCTCCTCTCCTAACCAACCCTCCCTCTCCCCTAAATTTCAGATCAAAAGGTGACATTTTGGAAAAGTTAGGAGCACTGGGATGGGGTTGGAAACTGTTTTTGCAACCTTAACTACAGTGCTTGCTGCAGAAGGATTCAAATGTTCAATGATCTCTTTGATGTCAAAGCTCTTTCTCTTCTAGATGCACCACAAGTGATGTTGGGAGGTTTTTCTATTAGAACCTTTTACTAGCAATACACTCAGAAGATATTTAAGAGATGTCTCAGAATCCTCCACATACCACATTAAGAGGTGTACAACAGTACAAGAGCCTGGTGAAATATATGCCAGCCGCCAGGGCTGGTGCAAGGGCCTAGGCGAAACGTCCACCTTGCACCCCCCCCCCCCGCCCCCTGGCAGCCCCCCCCCCCCCCCCAGGCCCCCCCCCCCGTGGCAGCTCCCCCCCGCCCTGAGGCACCCCCAGGGCAGCTCCCCAGCCCCCCGGCTCAGGGAGCCGTGCGGCAGCTCCCCACCCCAGCTCACCTCTGCTCTGCCTCCTCCCCGAGCACGCCACCCCCGCTCTAATTCTCCTCTCCTCCCAGGCTTGCAGCGCCAAACAGCTGATTGGCGCCGCAAGCCTGGGAGGTGGGAGAAGTGGAGCAGCGACGGCGTGCTCAGGGAGGGGGCGTAGCAGAGATGAGCTGGGGTGGGGAGCCCTGCAGCAGTTCCCCCCCACCCTGAGGCACCCCCGCGGCAGCTCCCCATCCCCCCAGCCCGGGGAGCCGTGCGGCAGCTCCCCACCCCAGCTCACCTCTGCTCCGCCTCCTCCCCGAGCACGCCGCCCCCACTCTAATTCTCCTCCCCTCCCAGGCTTGCAGCGCCAAACAGCTGATTGGCGCTGCAAGCCTGGGAGGCGGGAGAAGTCGAGCGGCGACCACGCGCTCAGGGAGGGGGTGTAGAAATGCGTTAAAAAAAATTGGGGGCACCGCTTTTTGGCACCCCCAAATCTTGGCGCCCTAGGCAACCACCTAGTTTGCCTTAATGGTAGCACCAGCCCTGCCAGCCTCCCTTCGGCCCTGGCACTAACTTTCAAGGGTTCCACAGGAAATTCCCGACTATGGGAAGAAGAATGCAGTAAAAACCCAAAGACACAGTAATGAGTAAACGGCAACATTTCAATGCAAGGGAGACAGCAGTAAACAGATATTTTCTGACCAGCAAGCTTCATAAATTTCCTAAGTTTGAAGACTTCCTGACTTTTCATCTCGCTCTAGACTAAATGAAATGAGGAAACAGGGACCAATATATGTTCACCTGTCCAACCCGCAGCAATGCCATGACTGATACTTCTTCACTAAATGGATCAGGTCAAAGAGAGAAAGAGGATGATAGGGAGACTGACAGAGTCCCTTGCAAAGATATTGATCCACTAACTCTTTTCTGGTAATCATTTCGGAGACATGAGCTGACAGTAATTAAAATGACTTACACACTGGGCTGGTTTCAAACTCAAATCTTCGACTGAAGCCACCATACCCTGCTGCCGTGCGCGCTCGGATTTGGAAGATATATGTCGACGCTGGTTTCAAGCCATCCACCGTGATCTTCGTCTCTTTCGATTTGATGATGGTGTAGCTGGTCTCTTGATCCTTTCCCCCCCCCCCACAAAAAATGCAGAGTTCAAGCATGTAAACAAAAACACTAGCAAAATACAAATTGCTAATTAACACAGCAGCAATAGTACTAATAATGACTAAACCAACCTGTTTAGAAGGAATGACTGAACATGTATTAATGAGACTCTCTACCCCACAAAAATCTATATGAAGACTACATACTGCAAAGACATGGGGTCCAATTCTCTATTGCCCGTCACTTTATATAGTCATTTTACTCTAGAGTGAAGTGGATGTAAAATATAACAGGTCAGGAATTTTTCCATAAAATGGTGGGTTTTTTTAACTGGATAATGGTGATTTGTTGAAACCGAATCCTTCTCTGGTCCAGGACGGAATTTCTGATTTTGGCCAGAGAACATGAGAGACGTCCATCCCCCAGAATAGCCAATAGCCCAGTGGTTAGGACACCCACTCTGGCCCAATAAGAACAAAAGAATGGCTATACTGGGTCAGATTAATGGTCCATCTGGCCTAGTGTCCTGTCTTATGACAGTGGCCAATGCCAGGTGCTTCAGAGGGAATGAACAGAACAGGGCAATTATCAAGTGATTCCTCCCCTGTCATCCAGTCCCAGCTTCTGGCCCTCAGAGGCTAGGGACATTCCGAGCATGGTGTTGCATCCCTGCCCATCCTGGCTAATAGCCATTGATGGACCTATCCTCCATGAACTTATCTAGTCTTTTTTGAATCCTGTTATAGTTTTGGCCTTTACAACATCCCCTGGCAACAAGTTCCACCAGTTGAATGAATATTTAAGTATTTGTCCAAAAGTGGAAGACCTCAAGTGGGACAAAGAGACTGACACTTTCTATATACAGCAGGGACTTGAACCTGGGTCTCCTATGTCCCAGGGAAGTGCCCTAACCAATGGGGTGACTCTCTCTCTCTCTCTCTCTCGTCAGTATTTTTTTTCCCCCACAAAAATTTCCAAGGTCAAATTTTCATTCTGATGCAGAATTTAAACAAAAATCAAAACCTCACAATTGTTTATGAAACAGAAGTCTTGTTTTCTGGTCAAACACCACTGACTCAGGACATCGCATTTGAAATCCACTTTGCACAAGTGTCAAGCACAACCTGAAGGGCCTGATCCTCATTTCCACTCAAGCCACTTTACTCTGCTCTGGCAGCGCAAAGAGACCACAAAGTGAGCACAGGTTATATTTACACTGCCAGAACAGTGTAACTAAAAATCAGGGCCAACGTGTAGGGAGATGGAAAAATCAGTCCCTGATTCACACTAAGGCCACTTTCCATCTTTCTGGCAATATAAAGATGCCTTAAAGTGAGCCCCTTTATATGACACAGTGTACCTTGCCAGTGGCCTTAGTGAAAATGAAAATCAGGGCTATTATCTAGATTTTATGCTTGGTTAGAAATACTAACCAAAAATACTAAAAAACAAATACACACAAACAGATATAGATATCTGCACACACACACACACACACACACATATTATATACAGATCTAATGAGACACACACTTTTTTGTGTGTGGTGAGGACCCTTTAAATAAATTTGCTGAAATAATTCTGCATGTAAATAAGTTTTTAGTGTAAATGCGCAGTTTGTGGTCGTCTTTGATTTAACATCAGACTCAAATGTCTGGTAATTGCTGCTAGAAATATTCACTTACTACACAGTCAGCATCCGATCATGTAAATTAAGGGCAACAGCGTTGAAAACAGTTTTGTTTTTTAATCACTATCTCCCTTCAGATCTCCATAATGGCATTTTCAGATAAACACATGATTTCAAGGCAGATCTTTTAAGGTCTGATCCAAAGTCACTTGAAGTCAATGGGCGTCTGTCACAGGATGGCTGACCTTTAAGGGGAGTTGGTCCGAGCCTTACCTGTGACCGATCAAGTGAGTGCAAATGCCCAGCAAGTATGAGGGAGTTGTGGGAGGAAGTGGTGCACTCCTGTGGCTGGGCCTAAGAGAGGGAGCAGGGCATGGGTAAGGAATGGCTTCTAGGTCCCTGCAGCCTGTTCAGGGAATAGCTTTGTTTGGTGTTACTTTCTGAGTCTGATGTTCAAAGAAGACAACAGTGCCTTGAAAGAAAGGCTGGGCAGACTTTGGACATGGTATTAGTCCTTCCTGGGCTGAGGGAGACAGTCCACCAGCCCCACTGACTTTAATGAGCTGTGGATCAAGCACCCGAGTGATCACCAGAAAACTCCAAATTTATGGTACTCCATTTTCTAATTAAATCATGGGAAATTTGCCTGCCCAGCTAAAGGGTCTGGGTTGGACAAAAAATGGAAAAAGCTGTTCTGTTTACTTTTAGGACGTGATTTCTTTTAAAAGAATGTGATTCAAGCCTTAATTTTCTCCGGCTCTCAAGACAAATCATTCTTATAACATGGGGACATGCTTTCTTAATTTATTATTGTACAGGGCTGTATGGCAAGAGAATGCAAATTAAGTTAATGACAAACGAGAAGTGCTAAGGATGACATAGCAATTAGCTGAATGAATAGTGGGGGAAATGGGATGTTAATATTAGTTCAAATTCTGACTTGCATTTCAATCCGATTACATTCACAACTCATTCATGTTTGCTTTCTGCAAACTTTTGAGTGCATGAGCTTTATTATTGAAAATACCAAGCTTCAATATTAGCCAAAAGCAAATTTCAAACTATATATTCAGTTTTATAATTTACATTTATATTGTTTAGTTACATGAAAAACCTAGCCTCCAGTTCAGCAAGGCATTTAGACACATACCTCACGTTAAGCTTCTCCATACTCCCTTTGAAGTCAATGGGACTACACACATGTGGAAAGCTAAGCACATGCTTAAGTATGTTGTGGATTCAGTGCCCCAATCAGATAACAGAAACAATACCACATGACTTATGTAAATGACCAAGACAGTGTGAACTATGAAAGGTTGCAACAGCTACTTATGAACGATTTGCAGATTAAGAACTATTTGATGAAGACATTTGAGAATAATTTGAATAAAACTTGTGATCTATTTAAAGACAATTTGCAAACACAACAAAAGAAAAAAATAATCATGCATTTTTCATTGTTAATTACTGGCTCGTCATTAATAGTAATGACAGTAGGTTCAAACGTTGGAGATAATTTACCCTAGTCTAGTCAAAGGCAAGTGCAAAATGTACCGCAGCGTAACGTTTGTGAGCAATGTAACAAAAGAATGAATGGTTGTTTATTTCAAGCAAAGACAAATTCTAGTTCCTCGCTTCATATCTCATCACAATATCACCATTTTGAAATAGCTACATTTCCAATGCCGAGGAAAGTTCAATTTCAATCAACACTTCAAAAATAATAGGGACACTTCAAATGTGCACACAAATCTTAAAGCACTTCATCTACTGAATATGGAGACAAAGAAAGTGAATAATACTTCAGAGCAAATCTTTCCTGGAACTATGCCTAAATCAAAAGAAATTGATCAACCAAAAGTCTTCTCTCTCTGCAATGTCAGTGTTACTTGGACTCACTGGAGCAGTGGTATTGGGTCCCCTCCTGAAGTGCATTGCACACCCCCTGGCAGCCCTGCAAAGCTGAGACACAATCCCTCCCCAGAGTTTCCCATAGCATGTGCCAGCCCCGCTCTGCCCCAGAGAAGAGCTATACCCAACAGTACAATCCAGCCCAATGTTCGGACTGCCCGTTGCATGCCTTATAAAGTAATCCAGGACAAAGGGAGAAACCTGGGCTGGCACATGTGGACAAATTAAACTGAGAGTCAGCTTTTCAAAAGGTTTCAGCATCCTGAAGCTCTCACTGAAAACCACTGGGTACTGAGCGAAAATGTGACCCCACTTGTGTATGTTGAGTACTTTAGAAAATCTGTCCCTGAGAGGTTCATTGGGGGAGGGGGTGGAGATAATAAAAAAATGGTGTTATTTTATACTGAAAACATGACTTTTGGTGTATGTGCATTTTGGCACATGAACTACATTGTAGTTGTGAACTAACCAGTTTATTTTCAATGCAGTGTATTAGCGCCCAGAATAAAACATTGTTCTCTCCTTTTATGGGAACAACTGACTTAAATCTTTTTGAAAAAAATGGAGCAAAAATCCATTCACCTGAAGCTCTGTTAAAGGAATTCCAAAGATGCAGTAGGCATCAGTATCCGCAAAGGGCTTTCTGGGTGAAAACTATGTTCTAAGCACGCTAACTACATCATTGCCGCACCCTGTTGTGCCTACGTATTTAAGAAACTTTGGCATATTTCACTGTTACTTGACTGATTGTTGCTGAATGTCCTAGGGATCTCTAGGGTGAGAGGGAGCGAGAGGGGGGAACAGTTGTGCAGCTGACTGTATCAGCTATGGCCTCACACAGCATAGATTCTGTGGACAATGGCAGCACAGCTGGTTTGCTGGAGAACAATCAGTGAAAGGGTTAAAGGCCAACCTTCTTGTTTTTACTGTTCTCTAAACACAGCTTTTTGCATTCATCTAATGTAATTTACGCAATTTGAGAAATATAACCACAATTACAAGGCTTCTCTTGTGTGATACATTCTTACGTTCTATTTCACTAACCATCCAAATTTAGCAGTGGGCATACATTTCGCATACACGGCCCTAAAATGAATCAAGTCTTTTCCAAGGGATTAAGGACCCAATCCTGGAAGGAGCTGAGTAGAATCATAGAATATCAGGGTTGGAAGGGACCTCAGGAGGTCATCTAGTCCAACCCCCTGCTCAAAGCAGGACCAATTCCCAACTAAATCATCCCAGCCAGGGCTTTGTCAAGCCGGGCCTTAAAAACCTCCAAGGAAGGAGACTCCACCACCTCCTTAGGTAACGCATTCCAGTGCTTCACCACCCTCCTAGTGAAATAGTGTTTCCTAATATCCAACCTAGACCTCCCCCAGTAGGACTGGTCTCAATTTTTCTGTTAATTTTTTTTTTTTTCAACAGAAAACTGGGTTTTCAACTAAAGTTATTTTTTTTTGGTGAAAAGTGCTTTCTGCAGAAAGTTTTGATTTTTCATAAAAAAAAACAAAAACAAATGCTCCAAAACCAAAATATTTTTTTCAGATGAAAACTGAAATATTTTTATTTGGCTATTTACCACGGTGCCTCATGGGAGTTGTAGTTTGGTTTCCTCTTGTCCCCTCTTCTTCTCTGTGGGCTGAGCTCCCCAGCCAGACTTTATCTCCCATGATTCACCATGGCCAGGGGCTCCCTTGATGTATCAGAGGGGAGACTGTGGTGCATCATGGGAGATGTATTCTGACCAAGGAGCCTGGCCTATAGAAAAGAATGGGAGAGTGAGGAACCTGAACTACAACTCCCACAAAAGGGGCATTTCAGAATCAAAACTTTTTTTTTTTTAGATTATTTCACCAAATAGTTGGAATTTTCCATGGGAAACCCCCCTCCCTAATTTTCCAGCCAGCTCGGAGGCCAGGTACCCTCAGCACTTGTTGACTTCATTGGGAATTGAGGACATTCAGCAATTAATAGGATTATATTTTATATGATTAACTCCTGTTGTTGTTTCTAGGAATTGTAAATCTCACACAGCCTTGAAAATTACTATATAGCATGGTCAAGGTTTACAAAAGTAACTAGTGATTTTGAGTGCTTCCATTTTTGGATTCTTAACTTGAGACACTTTTAAAGGTCCTGATTTTCAGAGGTTGGGTGCACAGCATTTTTTGAAAACTGGACCCTTTTAAGGTGTGCCAGGTTGTGCATCCAAAATCCCTAGTCACTTTTGAAAATCTTGGCTTGGGTGCATAACTCTCACACATCATTTACACAATTGTATTTGTTATAATGTTTATTGTAATGTCTTAATTTTTAAAAAAAGTAAAGGATAAATAACATTGTGTAAAAGAGGTTTGACACTTATGAACTAATCAAATGTGTACAAATATTAGTAATCTGTTAAACATTTTATTCATTTGATGGCCAAATGCAATTGGATTGGTCAAACCAGGTGAGAGGGATGATGAAATATCTGGTACTAATACCTATTATATAGCACTTTTCACCAGTAGATCTCAAAGTGCTTTACTAAGGAAGGTAGTATTACGATCCCCTTTTTACAAATGGGGAAACTGAAGCACAAAGAGGGGAAGTGATTTGCCCAAGGTCACCCAGCAGACCAGTGGCGGAGCCAGAAACAAAACTCCGACCTCCTGAGTCCCAGTCCAGTGCTTGGTCCATGAGGCCGCACTGTTACCCTACTCTCTGGTCAACATTTCTGGGAGCCAAAATCTACTGTCTGTATGGATGGATGAACAGATTTCCATCTCAGACATCTGGACTTGGTTCTGCCCTTCCGAACCCCTCATTCCCCTCCCCTTCTGCTCCACAGAACCCATCCTTATTCACTTGTCAACAATACTGGCTACTTCCCTCCCTCCTAGGTAACATGTCACAAGGTGAAAAAGCCTCTTCCTCTGAACTGGTGGTGTATTCCTCTTGGAAGCAAGTTTCTGTTAGCACCTGCAGTGCCCCAGAATCTTTTTTTCCAGCCGAAACTTAGATTCACCCTCTTTCCCTGCCAGAACTCCTGAGCTTCACTGAATGTAAACTTAGTACAGCTGAGGATTGAGCCCTGTGAACCTACAATATTTTCATCCTTCCTCAGGCAATCTGTCCTGGATAAATGGCATTTCGGGGCAGGTGGGTGGCTGGTACTGGCACTCTGGGTGGGACACAGGGTGTTGTGTATGTATTGTGAGCAGTGAAGTGCTAATAGCAAAAGAATCAAACGTCCAATTTGGCTCAACACTGACAAGTTCAGACGCTCATTTGCAGTTTATCCAAATTCTTTGTGTTTGGAAAACCGGGCTAGGAGTTTCATCAAACCCAGCGTCCTTGGGAGATGTGAGATATATCCTATTCCAGCCAGGTAAGAAGCACCAGAAAAGCCTTGCTCAGTGGATTTATTGGGGCCCAGAGGCACTGGAACAAGAGGACTATGCAAAAGAAAACAATCATCCCAAACTTTCTGGAAAGCACAAAAAGGTTCCAGTTGGAGATTTGGACAAACACTCAGGGGGTGCCGACTTTATCCAAACGAATGTGCCTGTCCCGAATGACATGGAAAGTTGTCCTGATTCTTAGCACCTTGAGCCACTGTTTATTTTGAAGACCCAGGGCTAAAATTCTGCCCTCAGACCCAGGGAAGCAATTCCAACTGAAGTCAATGGGAGCTGCATGCACTTCCGGGGGCACAACTTGTCCCTAAATGTCTTGGGCCAGGTACCAATGTCCCTACTCAGGACCAGATTCTGGCTGGCCTTCATGTGGGCGCAGAGCACAAATGAACCTTCCCCACCTTGTGCTGCCCAGGCCAGTGCAAGCAGATTTGAAGGCCCTGTGCTCTGGGTCACTCCCTCTGTTGCACTGGAAAACTGAGCTGGCCTGCTTGCGTAAGGTAGTAGGTTGCACCCCATGAAAGAGAGGGTTGTGGGGATGCTGCTTCTATCAGCAGACATCCTGCCTTTCTGAGACTGGAAGCTCCCTGGTGCTCTCCTTGGAGCACGGCAGCTCCGCTCTGCCCCAAGGATGAGGACATGCCTACGTGGTGCAATGACACTCCCCATTTTTAAGTGTTTTGTATATTACCATAGTGCCTAGATGCTCCCAGCCAGAGCAGGGCCCCATTATGCCAGGCCCTATGTACACACACACACCCCACAAGAGACAGTCCCTGCCCCAAAGAGCTCACGCTCTAAACGAACAAGACAGATGAAGTGAGGAAGGGGAAACAGAGGAAGAGAGAGGGGAAGGAACTTGCCCAAGGTCAATCCTCTGTCCTTACTCTGACAAGCCTCCTATGGACTTCAGCAAGAACTCTGCCTGAAGGAAGACTGCCTAGGGCTTCAGGATGTGGCCCCCTCCACTGGAAGTCCCTTGGGGTAGGGACTCTTTTTGTTCTGACTTTGTACCATGCCTACCACAATGGTGTCCTGGGTCCTGGTGTTCCTGGAGCTCCTAGGTGCTACCATAATGCAAATAAATCGTAACCACCACCACCTATTGCAGAGACACAATCAGAACACCAACATGCCCTGGCAGACGGTTCGATGAGCACTGGAATCAATGCCAGCTGATCCTTAAAACCAAAGCTGAAGTGTAAAATTAAAAGACTGGGGATTGCCCGATGCTCTGAGTGAGAAGACGGATGCTAGTTCCCAAGCTCCTTTGATTCATAACAAATTAGTATACTTTAATTTAATGTGATAAGACTGGAGATGAAACTGACATGCAGTTTTAATGTATTTGTTCAACAGAAGTGGCACACTAATGGAAAACAACACACACATTTGAAGTCTTCCTAATCATTTACTGCAGAATCAATCTGACATTGATTTATGCATAAAATTGCTTCATTCCCTTCCACACATAGGATAATTATAACTAAAAGAGAAGGACAGCAAAGAGAAGGTACTTAGGATGCTTTGCAATCAGTCAGTCACACCTTTTCAAAATATTTGATTTCATACTCCAGGATGATGCCGTTGGGTCGATCCGGCTCCTGCCAGGAAAGGAAGATGCTATTTTTAGCTATCTTTCCTTTTTTCACAATACTGATTGGAGAAGGTGCTGCAAGACAAGAGAAAAACAAAACAAGATGATAGTTAGTGGGACAGTATCTTGGTTCCTAATTTAAATTCAACATTGCATATGCTACTACGTATAGTCCACTGATGTAAATCAGTGTAGTGTACGCTGACTTCAATGTGGATTTATCTCAGTTGGGATCTGGGCCTTTGGCCTCAATGGAACTATGTGATTTTCACTAAGTGAGGCACTGATCCCATTGATGATTTCTGATGAATTCTGAACTGTGGTCTCAGTCCAGCTGTTGTTACAAAAACTTAGTGTTGTTTTCAAAGAATTGTTATGCGGTAATTTACATAAAGCTTTAAATAAATATTTTCTGATAAAATGCCCAGGAGGCGCTCAAATTAAACCAGGGCAGGGAACCTTTTTAAAATAAAAGTCACATCCTCACCTGGCATGATTTGACATAGCTCCATTGAAGCGAATGGAGTTACATTGATTTTCAACAGCTGAAGATCTGGACCAAAACCACCAACATAAGAAGACTCCAATTCAGCACCACACGTGCTGGAAATAGGGGTGCTGCTGCACCCCCTGGCTTGAAGTGGCTTCCATTATATACAGTTTGGTTCAATGTATCTCAGCACCCCCACTGTACAAATTGTTCCAGCACCACTGTTGAGCACAAGGCTAAGCTATAAGCTACAGCAGCAGTTCCCACACCAAACCCACAGCCTGCTCCTGGTGGCAATGAGGTTACATACTGCAAGCTTCCTGTCACCGCGAAGGAATTCACTTTACAACGTATTGAAATGTTCAGAAGAGGATCTCAGGACTGCTCGGTTGCCTGAAGTGGGGCTGTGACGCGTCTCTGTGTCAGTCTATAATGCTTGTCTGTGTCGGTGATGCCAGGGAGAGGAGCAGTGCAAGACGCACAGCCATACAGCCTTTAGAGCAGGGGTGGGCAAACTTTTTGGCCTGAGGGCCGCAATGGGTTTTGTAAATTGTATGGAGGGCCGGTTAGGGGAGGCGGTCATGGCCCGGCCCCCACTCCCTCTCCCCCGCATCGGGAACCCTGCCCCATTCACATCTCCGCGCTCCCTGTCCCCTGACTGCCCCTGGACCCCCACTGCCCCATCCAACCCCTCCTCTCATTCCTGACGGCCCCCCCGGCACCTGCCCCATCCAACCACCCCTTCTCCCTGTCCCCTGACTGCCCCCTGCCGCCCCATCCAACTCCCCTCCTTCCTGACTGCCCCTGCAGGACCCCTGCCCCCATTCAACTCCCTGTTCCCCACCGACCGCCCCGACCCCTATCCACACCCGCACCCCCGACCACCACCAAACTTCCCTGCCCTCTATCCAAACCCCCTGCTCCCTGCCCCCTTACCGTGCTGCCTGGAGAACTGGTGGCTGGAGCTGGGCCACGCCACCACACAGCACAGAGCACCGGGTCAGGCCAGGCTCTTCAGCTGCGTTGCCCCAGGAGCTCACAGCCCCACCGCCCAGAGCATTGCGCCGGCAGCGGGGGAAGGGGAACAGTGGGGGAAGGGGCCGGGGCTAGCCTCCCCGGCCAGGAGCTTGGGGGCCGGGCAGGACAGGCCCGCGGGCCATAGTTTGCCCACCTCTGCTTTAGAGGAAGGGTAGGAAGAAGGCTGTGGCAGATCAGATGGGAAGGCAAAGGAGAGTCAGCTGGAAGCATTAGGAGGAAGAGAGTGAGAAGGTCTGACAAGCTAAGAGGCTGGGTAAGGCAGAGCAGGAGAGATTGTCAAAATTCAACGGTTTCCGAAGGAAAAGAAAAAGGGAGGGCGTTCGTTTCACAAAATGCTCACAAAGAAAATCCATCCCATTGTCTAACCAGCTCTAGCAACTGGCAAGGTCCAGAGTGTGGAGGTGGGTGCTCAGAGGCATCAGAAGTGACACACAAGTGAGCCCAGGAGTCTATGAGAGAGGAGGAGTACTACTGCATGGCCAGGCAGATGGCAGGGCGCAGGGAGGAGAGAGAGAATTTGCAGCAGGGCAAGTCAATGTGGGCACAGTACCTCTGCCAGAGCTCCCCACCAGTGCGGGCATCAGGACTGGGGGCAGCAGGTGCTGGGGGCAGCTAGGGGTTGGCAGTGTTGTTCAGTGTAGATAACGATTCAAGGAAATTTCACACCCCTGGAGGCCACTGAAGTACTTTAAAAATCAGCGTTTGTTTGGAGTTTAAATTTGCTGTCAACGCCGCATGTGGAAGGAAAGTCAGCACGGTGCGACGGTGCCTTATTTTTCAAAATGATTGGTGTTATTTCAAGCCAGGGAACGCCTCTATCGACCTGTCTGCTGATCCACCTGTTGTACCTAGCTAACCTCAAACTTTATAACACAGCTGTCTCCTCTGTATCCGAGTCTGCTTTACTGCCATGTGGTTACTGAGGCAGTGTGTTCTCCGGCTTTGCTCGCAGGCCGTTGGGATGGATACATGGCGCCTGATCGTTTAAGTTCTATTTTTTCATATATTTTCATCCTCACTAAATTTGCCTCTGTAGGGGACATCGTAGGTTCTCTGTCCAGAAGAGCTCCAGAAACAATGGGCAAGTTTGGGATGTCTCCAGGAATGCACTCGGGGCTTGTCTTTACTGCACTGTTAGATCCAGCTAGGAAGGCTTCTCCCCTGTTAGTCTAGCCTGAGTGAGGGCAGCCACACAGGCAGCACGGTGATTGTATTAGTAGTACAGAGGAGCGTCGTCGTCCCTGCACCAGCAGCGCTCCAGCTGCAACTTGTACCCCACACAGGGTCAGGGTAACTTGAGTTTAAAGCTTCTCCTCAGTCAAGCTAGAGATGGGTGTGTGTGGAAAGGAGTCAGGTTAGCAGCAACACATAAGTTATCCCTCCAGGTAACACTGCCGCGAAGATAAACCCGGAGACACCAACAGGGCAGCGTGCTGCGCTGGGAGTCTAGCTAAGCACGTGGAGGCTGATTCTTGGGTCCACTCCAGCCCCTTTGGGCTGCCCTGGCACCTCGGGGTGGCAGGAAATGGGGTTGGCATTCAATAAGTCACTTGGCTCATTAGTCAGTACTGACTTAGGATATGCCTGCATGCACTGCAATCGAAAACCCCGCAGCAGCAAATCTCAGAGCCCAGATCACCTGACTTGGGCTCACAGGGCACAGGCTCCAGTCCAAGCGCTGAGACCCTCCCCCCTCCCCGGGTTTCAGAGCGTGGGCTCCAGCCTGAGCCGAATGTCTACACAGCCTGAGTCAGCTGACGTGGGCTCGGAGACTCACTGCTGCGGGTTTTTCTATTGCAATGCAGACAGTGTCCTGGCAGAAAGAGCCCGTGCCCTGTGCTAGCATAGGCACTACTGCGCCCTGGTTAAAATCACTCCATCTGTTGCTCCCGAGGCAGCTAAACGTCAGTGTAAATACCATGGCTGCCGTTGGAATCTTTACCATTTCCTTGTTTTTCTAATTAACATTGCTGAGATGATACCCTGGGTGCCACAGTAACATCAATCCCTTGCAAATGGAAATTGTAACGGTTTTAATGGTGACCGCTAGGCAGCAAGCCCAGTGTACGGTTTGTATATTGGACTTTGTGCTGGCCTTTGAGAACCTGCAGAATTAAAGGAACTATATAATTTTACTATTCAGCCTTCCCAGGCAATTTGCTATCTTTCCAGCTCACACCTGCATTGCAAATATATCTGATGGTTCATTTTCAACTCAGAGACCTAAACAACTTTAAAGGTCCGCTTTTTACAACCGCTACCGGCTCCCTCGCAGAACGTCCTGTGGAAAATAAAACGTGGTGCTCGGATTGCTCTCCTGAGTCCCTGGTGCGTCTGCGCAGAGCTGAGTGGGGCTGTAGCGGTCTCCAGGGATCACTGATCGAAATTCGGAAGGGAGCCAGAAAGCGAACGATGATGCACAAGCTAAACAATGCCAGTGTTTTTCAAATCGATGGCAAATCCCACAGGTCTAAAGATGACAACGAGGAGATATGAGAGCATCGGGGCAACACACGTCTGTGTAGGTACCTAGACGACTCCTCGTTGTTTTTGTAGGTACCTATATGAACTCCATAGCTCATCTCAATTGATTGGCCTCTTACAGTTGGTATGGCTACTTCCACCTTTTCATGTTCTCTGTATGTATAAATAGCTTCTTGTTGTATGTTCCAGTCTATGCATCCGATGAAGTGAGCTGTAGCCCACGAAAGCTTATGCTCAAATAAATGTTAGTCTCTAAGGTGCCACAAGTACTCCAGTTCTTTTTCCATTACCACAGTATTTGAGCACCTCACGCAACAATGCGTTTATCCTCACAACGCCCTGTGAAGTAGGAGGAGGACGCTTACCCCATTTCACCCATCAGGGCGTAACATACGCAAAGACTATGTGACTTGCCCAAGGCAGAGCAGTGAATTGAACCTTTCCGCCCTGCTTCACCTGAGGCTGGTATCCTACCCACCATACCATCCTTTCTTTTGTAGCTGAGATTGCGTATCTTCTCCATTCAGCTCTGCATCTCTCCCCGCCGCCCATCAAACAAATAGCATTTTGCGTTTGCTCTACAAATGATAATCCTCAATTCAAACATATTTTATCTTCCAAAATTTCACTGCACCATAAAAATATTACTTTTTGTAGGCAAGAGGAACTAATTGACACGCTACCAAAAAAAAAAAAAATCCCAGTTAAATAACGAAGACAACAAACAAACTCATTTTGCCAACTCCGATCTTCAGCCAGAAGGAATATGGGAAATCTTCCAAATGTTTATTCCTGGATTGGACACCGTTGGCAAGCTTGTGTTTTAAAATCAGGACCCTAAATCTGAACCTCTTCCAGGTAAACATATTCACCTGCTGTTTACTAATCTCTCACCTCTTTGGCTTTCTGAGGACACTGTAGAATACTACTCCCGCATGGTCTTTTCTGAAGAGCAGGCCTCAGCTTCACAGTCACAGCACACACTCCAGGGTGCCCAGAGTGTGAGGGGGTATAAGCCAGAGAGGTGTGAAAGGCCTTGAACCTGCAAACAGTTTAATTGATT